GGGGGAGTTTGTGCGCAGTAGGTTTCTTGTTTTCAAATTTAATTGTGGCTTTGGAAGGTTTGAGAACCGGCGAGGTGACCAAGGTGGTTGACCTAGAGCCTATGAGAGTTGATCGGTACCAATTAGCACGGTTCTATGCAGTATGCGGTATGCATTTTCATGCATGTTCAATCACCCTGGTTAAAAGATTCACTTTGGGTCAGAAGATGCGCTTCGCCAACTTTGCTTTGTTGCCGACCTGGTCGGGCAGTTCCCTTCAATTTTCCCCTCCACCCCTGGCAACCCAGGCATTCGTGTCCCAAGCAGCACCCCGACAGAACCAAGCCTCTCCGGCACTTGTTCTCCTGAAATCTCCTGAACTCTTGGACTTACCGCTCGATGTCCCACCCCGGAGGGACGAAGGAACTCTGCGGCCGGCCTGTGTGTGGCCGGCCTGTGATGTCTCCCACGCAGCGCCTTCTTTTTCTCCGTGGGATATATATCTCTTGGTTTCCACCTGCTAGGAGATACATCTGCGGTGATGCAATGATGATTTGGGATTGGTTCAGCCTTATGGTAATCCTTTGAGTTGGCACGATTCTTCACACGAAGAGTTGGTCAAAACATGCGACGGTTTGACACGTGGAGATGGCACCAGCGCAAACTGAGCTGTTGTTGATCGATTTTACCAGCTAAGAGTTCTTTTCGAAAAAAATATTCTCAAAGGTTGTTCAAGGAACCCTTTGAGGTTGCTTTTGGGCATCATTTGTGGCTTCACTTCCATGCTACTGGCCACCTTGGCGGGCAACTTCAACTCCGTCAGTGGATTCGAAGCCAAGAATGCCTGCTTCCTGCATCAGGCTGGCAACGCTTCACCTGCAGCTTTCAGGGCTTCAGATTGTGTGAAGCCTGAAATTGGTGACCGGTCAGGCCACTGGTCCCCGGTGCCGGTCGACGTGAGTCCGACCCTGTGAGGAGTGCCCCTCCAAGAGAAGCTACCATGCAGAGACCGTGAGTGAGATGGTCTCCAAGTCCGACTATCCTGCGGTCTCTTGGGCAAGCGGAGTTCGTGAGCGAGGCTCCAGCTGTTTTGGACATAGTATGGCAACGAAGTTGTCCGACGTGTTTGGCACTCAAAAAGACCTTCCCTCAGGGGACAAAGCATTTGTAAACAGAGGTCTTTCACCCATTGGTTTGAGGGCGGAGCCCTTTTTGAGGTGTTCATCAAGAGGGCGCGCTAGGTGATCCTCTTGTGTTTCTGGAAGCTTTTGTTGAAGTCTCGTTTCTAACTTTACTCCGCCCCTTAGCCGAAAAAACCTCTGACAAATACTGAGGCCAAGCTCTTCTTCAGCTTCACTCTGATTGGTTCCCTAAGTCTTCTCCTCTCCAAATATCCCTGGGAGCTGCGGAACGTCTACCTCGGCGGCACCGTGCGCCGGCGGGTGGTGACGGCTCTTCGAGCGGTGGTGCCCCCGGTGGGCATGCTGAGCCCTGGTTGGAACTGATTGATATCAGTCAGTGACCCTGTTGAACCCCGTGGATGGGGCACTGGGTGAGAAGGGTATAGTATGAAACAGGTAGATTCAGGTATATAGATAGAATATGGAATGCTTCCAGCCAAATATTTTCTAGTTGCTGTGGTTCATATTTTATCAAATAACTAGTGGATGGCAGAGAACTCCGACCCCAAAGTTTGGTCAAATCCCCGACCTGGGTCCTATTATACTGGAAAACCATCCTCTGGAATATAATATGCCTACATTGACCCCAGGTCAACCACCCCAACTAACGGGTAAATAGGCCAGTCCCATGGATGGTCTTGGTATGCATCATTTTTCATCCAAATCGAAAGCAAAAAGGCTGAAGCCACGCCCCCCAACCGCCCGACCTGTGAAACCCTAGGATCGTGTGTACGATCCCGGTGGCGCCGCGCGTGCGGCGGACTGACCTGGCCACCCAGCTGGCATGCAACGTGCACAACCTGGGCGCGTGCCTCTACGTGGGTGGCCCCCTGGATTGAGTCCGGACGGGGGGGGCAAGAAAGACCGGTGAAAGAAGAAAGACCGGTGTGGTGCAGTAGGGGCTATGAAAAAGGGCGGCTAAAATGAAAAGGGCCAGGAGTTTCGGTCCATGTCTTTTGAGGCAGCAATAGGTAGCATATAATATATATATATATATATGTCATCTGCTCGTAGAGTGAGATGGTTTGCACGAAGGCACGTATGCGGCCATTGGCTCAAATTAGAGTTCGGTCTTGGATGGACCGCTGCGCGAGGTGCAAGCGGTCACCACCCTCGGGTGGGGACACGTGGTGCCTCGCTTGCAGCGGTTGGGAGGCCCTCGGCGCGGAGCTGGGCTTCCAGTGGTCCCAGCCCGCGCTCCGCGCCGTGGCCACCGACCTGGTGGTCTCGGCGGTGAGGCAGGTGCGGGCCTTGCGTGTGACCCGGCTCGCGCCGCCAGTCACCGAGGCTGCGCGGCCTCCCGCCTTGAGGCCGGCGGCAGCTGAGCCGCGGGAGGCTGGGGACCACCCCGAGACCTCCGACAGGAGGGAGCCCCTCCCGCGCTCCCCTAAGCCAGGGGGAAGGACCTCCCTAGAGGGCGAAAAGCCCTGGGGGGACACGCCCGTACCTGCAGGCCCGGAGGCCGAGCAGGGGGGCTCCGAGGAATCGGAGGAGTCTGAAAGCGACTCGGTGGCCACCACTGTTGTGCCAGAGGCAGCCGGAGGACCGCCAGGGGTCTCTTCCAAGGCTCGCCCTGAGCCCCGGCCTTCGCGTGAGGTTGAGGAGGCCGTGAAGGAGGAGCCGACTGCAGTTCGACACGAAGGGAACCAGGCTGACGCTGTCGAGCCAGGTTCACCGGATCGAAGGTCCACTGACCGCGGGCATCACCGTTCGCGAAGAGGAGACACTCGGCCGAAGAAGCGAAAAAGGAAGCATTCGCACCGGGCCGGCCGGAAACACAAGCGCTTGGGTCGTGCCGACGCGAACCCATTCGTCAGGCTTCACAGGAGCTTGGATCGGTCGTACTTCGACTTTGATCCTCAGGCGCCCCGGGAGTCGGTGGCTGGCTTGCCGCCGAGGCCGCGCCAATGACTTCAGGGGTAGAGGCAGAAATGCCGGTCGAGGCGGAAGGAGACAGCCCATTTGGGCGCTACGATGTAAGAGATACAGTACGCTGGAGCCTGCTCGCGCCTCAGCCTGGAAACATTTTGATTACCGAGGTCCCAGGAGAGGTGTTTGGCCAAGAAGGGGTGGAAGCTATTTTTGTGGTGATCGATCGCATTTTGCAACCGGATGGATCACTGTTGGTCCCGGTGAGGGTGGTTGGAGCAAGTCGAGACGACGCACTTCCAGCCCTCTCTTCGTTGTTCAATCGCTTGCACGAGGGCGCGGCTTTTCATGTGCGCCATTTGGAGTTGTGGGACGGAGCGACTTTTCCAGGTTCCCGCCTGTCGTCAGGTGGGCGCCGATTGCTGAAGCAAGTACTCACTGGCAAGGACGACGAGCCGCCCGA